ACCTGAGTTTGATCCCCAGAATCCCATGGAAGGAGAGAAGCAAGTTTGCACACACACATTAAATAAATGCTTTTTTTTTTTTTTTTTTAAAGAACAGTAGACTTGGAGCTGGAGAGATGGCTCAGTGGTTAAGAGCACTGGCTGCTCTTCCAGAGGACCCAGAGTCCCAGCAACCACATGGTAGCTCACAGCCACCTGTAATGAGATCCGGTGCCCTCTTCTGGCCTGCAAGAATACATGCAGACAGACCACTGTATACTTAATAAATAAAAATAAATCTTAAAAAAAAAAAAAAGAACAGTAGACTTTAATAGTGCTTCTTAATCCCCACCTCCACCCCTGGCAGTGAGAAGAAAAGCCAGAGGCTGTGCTAGTATCAGTGGGCTACATCACTTGAGAGAAAGGTGTTGTTATGTAGCCCAGACTGGCCCCTAACTGGTGATCTGCCTGCCCCTTGACACAAAAGTGCTAGAGATTATAAATGTCCCAACTTAAATTTCTCTTATCTTAAAAAGTCACATGGGCCAAGCCTGATTAACCATGCCTTTAATCCCAGCACATAGCAAGTTCCGGTGCAAAGCTACACAGAGAAACCCTGTCTCGAAAAACCAAAAAAAAAAAAAAAAAAAAAAAAAAAAAAAAAAAAAAAAAGGAACAACTTCCCATACACTGGGTTGAGCACTTCTAATGATGGGAGCAGGTTCCTGCCAGAAGTAGTCGGTGGCGCTGGCAACTCTAACTGCTAATAGAGCAGGGAAGTGCGCCTGCTCTCCAAGGCCGCCACACTCTGCTGAAGGAAGAGGAGAAACCCTCCCGTTGTGAGCCTGGACCTGCCCCTCTTTCACTTCCTCCACCTCTTCTGTTCTGCTCCTCGGAGCACAGTGTGTCTATGGTCTCTGTGTTTCCTAGCCGCTCTTTCAATGTTTGAAGGTGGGGTGAAGCTCTCTTTAAACCCTCTTCTTGTTTGTGTATTCAGTCTGTTTTCCTATCACACTCCCTAGGTAACATTCATTTTTCTTAGCTGATATTTAAGATGCAAATGAGGGAGAACAGCTTGCTTCCCTTCCATGAACTGTCCTGAAGGAAAGGGAGTTTCCATTCTGAGGAGAGGAGCAAGAAGATGTTGAGACCAGAGGCAAATGGGAGCAAGCAGGGTCTAGGGTCAGCTCCAGGCTTGGAAAAGATACAGTAGGGGAAAAAAGAAGTGGAGATCTGTAGTTCTTGAAGACTAGAGGAGAGATGCTAAGAGTTTAAAGTGGCAATTTGGGGGCTTCGGAAGATGGCTTAACGGCAAAACACTTGCTGAGCAAGCATGAGGAGCCGCGTTTGTACTTCCAGCATGAATGTAAAAAGCCAAGTGTAGGGGGAGGTGGGCCAGGCGGAGTCCTGGAGCATGTTGACCAGCCAGCTTAAATGAATCTGCAAGCTCCAGGTCTGAATTCAGCATCCTAGGCATGTGTTTTTCTTTCTCCTTCCTTCCTTTCTTGCTTCTTTTTCTTCTTCCTCCCTCTCTCCTTTCTTCTCCCTCTCTCCTTCCTTCTCTCGCTCTCCCGCCTCTCTCTCTCCCTCCCTCTCTCTCTCTCTGTCTCTGAGATGGAGTCTTGCTGTATAGCTCAGACTGCCTTAAACTCAGTCTTCTAGCCTCAGACTCCCAAGTGCTAGGATTACAGGTGTGTACCACCAGGCCTGGCTAGCTCAAACTTTTTCTTGACTACCTTGTTAAAAGGAAGATGGGAAATTGTTATCTTGGAGTCAGTATTTATCCTAATTTAACCAAGTTTCTACAGCCTTTCGGAGTGTTGACGAACAAGATAACAACCTTTCAAAGCCATTTTTACACTAGATTTCTTCCCTGAAGTATCTGAGACCCCCTCCCCCAAGAATGCTTCTGTGCTTCAGTGCCTTCCAGATGTTTCTGGCTCTGGCTGTTTCATTTGGCTTGCCTCTCTCCTTGGGGAGAGGGGCTTGTATAGTTGAACACCAGGAACTAGCTAAGATCAATCTAGAACACTGAGCAAGACTTCCCTGAAGGCTCAAGGATATCATACTGGAATTATAACAGGAAAATCCTGACCCTGAATAGGTCAGCCTATTTTCTGAACTGCTGGCCAAGATTTCCCAGGGTTACCTTTAGAGCAAGTCTTCCATGCAATTCCCAGCTGGGTATCAGGGCAGTTTCCCTGACTTCACACACAGTGAGTCAGGTATACCTGTAAGACATCATCTCCTACAAGAAGGAATCTCAGTGGGCATGTGGGCGCACGCCTTCAATCCCAGCACTAGGGAGGCAGAGGCGGGCAGATCTCTGAGTTCTAGGCTAACCTGGTCTACATAGAGAGTTTCGAGACAGCCAGGGCTATGTAGAGAGACCCTGTCTCAAAAAACAAAAACAACAATAACAACAAGAAACAAAACAAAACAACAACAAAAAGAAACAAACCCCCAAGCTAAAACAAAACAAGAAAGAACAGATCCCAGCATCTTTGAGCCTCCCACAAGGCAAAGCCCTGTCTGCAGAGACGTTGTCCCCAGGCGGGTACTGTGTGAGCGGTTTTGCTCTTTAGTTCCTCTCCACGTCTCACTATCTGGATAGAAACTTAACCTTACCACGGCATCAAAAATAAAATAAAAGTTCTCAACAAACAAAACAAAACAATGATGCCCTCAGTGATACCCTTGTTTTCTATGGCTATTGAAAGTTGAGTGTCATATCTCAGCAGGGACCTCAATACACAAATCACAGTTAAAATATTATCACAGAAACAAACCAGTACTTTCCAAAGAGGATACCCTTAGGTATTCACTCACGTCTGCAGAGCCTAGACTATTACTTGGGGCTTTCTTCCAAATAACATTCATTATAATTGAGCACTGTTTTTACTATAAGAATCTGTGGAAGTCACTGAAGATCTCAAACAGTTGGTTTTGAAACCATAAATCAATAATTCTGAGTTACACTCAAAATGAGCTCTAATGTTACTAGAATTTTCAAAACCACAGAAGTTTGAACTTATCTCAGTGCAACTTTGACATTGATACCATTTCCAGCCTCTTCCTGGCAGATGTGAGCTGGAGAGTTAAAGAACCTAAACACCAGAGGGACCGCGGGAGGGGAACGAAGGTGTGGTTTTGGTGCCTGGCTTCAAAGGAGGAGGCAACGCTGAGCCCAGCCTATTTCTTTTTAGCTAGACTAATTTCTGTAAAGGGAGAAAACCACTCAGCCAAAGTCAGACTTCCCCACATGATTTTTAATTTAACGATGCCCCAGTTTCCAAGCAATCATCTTCTAATCTTTGTAAATACGCCGAGGAAGCAGGCAGTTGGGGGAGTGAAGGGCCAGCCTAGCACCACGCAGGTATCCTGCCCTGGAACTAGGCTTTCCTCTCCCTCCCCCACCTCTCTCCCCCTTCCTCCCCCTACTCCCCCCCCCTTTCTTCTAGTTTTTGATGCAGTTGTATTTATTCATTTTTTGACATCTAGGGACAGAAATGAAAGACTAAAGGATTTCTTTCCTTTAAATAAATCTTTCAGTGAATGGAACGGAATGTCCTCAGTCCTTGATAACTGGCACGTATGAACTAGCTATACCGTGTGAAATCAGCTATTTCACATGTTCATGTGTCTCAGACCTTTTTGATAACAGATCCCCTCCCCTGCATGCCTACCAAGGGCAGGTGTCCAGCAACTTCTCTTCTACCTCATGCATTTGCTGCATCAGAAACACACTGGACCCAATGGCAGTGATAAGCTGTTTAATTGAGGATGGGGCTATTAAAAGATAAAGTTAGAACACTACAGATAGTTTTTAAACTTTAAGGATCACTGTCAATTTTAGGCTAAATTTCTGATAAATGTAAATATATATTGGGAGCTAAATTCCCCTTTTAAACAGAATGTTTCCTTCTGAAATCCAGATTGACTAATTACTCTGTATAGCTCATTTGCTCTGGAAAGGAAAACCCCCTATAGACGTGGTGAAGTTCCTGTGTGTTCACAGCTTGTGGTGACTTTCAGCTTGCCACCTTATGAGACAGCCCACTGAAAACTCCTGACAGCCTGTGGCGCTCAAAAGCTCTTCCTTACTCTTAGCAAACTGACCTCTTGATGCTTTTACTGATTTGGTCTTAGATCTGCCCTCTGGAGAGACACAAAATAAACTTAATCCCTCTACTAGACAGCAAATCTCCTTACGGTGACTCAGGCTACACTTGTATCAAAGGTATAACAAACCCAATTACCTTCCCCTCCTGCTCCTTTTAGTGGCAGAGCAGGCTTACGTGAATCGACTTAATATGCTAGGCGGGGAAAACCCAACTCCTCTTCCACCACAGTCCCCGGGGCTTTACCCCGGGTTAAGGCTTCAGTGATCCTCAGCCCTAAGTCCTTAGAAGCAAATGCGAGTCCAGCAAAGGGCAGTGCTAGACAGGCAGGCTACTTCGACTTTCCTCTGTCATATGTAACACACAGATTCTGCAGACCAAGGTACATCTGGCCCAGAGATTCTCTTTGTCAAAAGCCGTAGGATCCCAACTTCTGTGAGAGAATCCTGAGACTTTTCCTCAGGACTCAGCCCTGACAGTTTGGTTATGTTCAGTTAAACCACACTGTGTGATGAGCACTCCAGGTGCCAAGAGCCTCACTACATTGGAGAAACACCAGTTTAAGGGAAAAGACTAGCAAGTGTGAAATAAAAGTAACAATACCTTGCAGGCCTAATGAATGCCTCAGTGGATAAGAACACTTGCTGCCAAGCCTGATGACCTAAATTCAATCCCCAGAACCCACATGATGGAAGGGGAGAACAGATTCTAACAAGTTGTCCTCTGATTACCATCCATACACCATGGCATATAAAACACACACATACACATGCAGGCACACACACACACACACACACACACACACACACACACACACGGCACACACATTTAATATTTAACTTATCTATCCCATCCATTTAAGTTCAATTATTAAATCCCATGTTACATAAACCATAAAACAATTCTTTAAGTCATTTATTATTCATAATAGCACATTAATCACTAAGCCTATCAAAATTCTTCCAGAATTGGGAGGGGACTAATAGAATCACCTGCAAGTTACAGACTGATAAACTCAAGGATTTTTTGGAAAATATTCAACATAGGTCTTACGAGGGAACCAGGCTCCTGAATTGTGGCATGTCAGCTGTTTGGGATTGGCCAACAAAACAGGGCCTGGGGCCAGAGCTGAGGAATTTTACAGGGAGGGCATCCTGGTCCACATGCTGCTGATCAACCTTGTGACTGAAGTCAACATATAAATCACACTTGATTAAGCACCTCCACACACATCCTATGCTATTCTGTGTGAGTTTTAATAAAGCTATAGAAGGATTCCAACACACAGGTTCCAACAAGTCAGAATATTTCACAGTAGTCTAGATACCTGGAGAGTTTAATTAAAGAAAAATCCTTTTCTTTAAGAACAGCAGCTTACTTCTTTTCAAAATAACTGCTGTGGTTCTTTTGCAAATACAAAGTGTGTCTCATCTCTAACTTGGCTGTGAGGTAATGCCATCCCATGGCAGCCCTGGTGATCTTGTTTCCTTCTGGCAAAGAGAACCCATGTCCTGCCCAACAACTTGGCAGCTTAGTAAACTGAGTACAAAAATGTTGAGCAAAAACTTAAAAAAAAGTTTTGGTGATAAGAACTTACTTTCCTGTTACAACATTTCATACACGTTTTTTGCAAACAGATGTAGTAAAGTCACAGAAGTTTCATTTTCTGTTATGGATGAAGACTTTCACTGGCTCACTGATCTTCCTCTTCTTCCCGGAGCTTTCAAAACTTGGCTCAATGTGTACACAATTCATTCTTTGAGTCTGTGAGAATCACCAGAGAAAAGGATAATTCAGCAGAGAGTTGACATCTACACAAGACATGTAGAAAAGAGGAAGACCAAGCATGTGTAACGGATCCAAACCTGCTCTCCTGTGGGCTTGTTTGGCCTGGTACATAACCCTTCTGCCAGGATCAGAATCTGGCATTCCAAGTTTCAGGAGCTCAAGTCCCCTGGAGGCAGCCAGTTTCTGGGACAGTTTCTTGGCTCTCTCTAGTGAATTCAGCATATCCAACTCTTGAGGGAAGGCTTGTTGATCAAGGTGTGGGGCCAACAAGGAGCAAGTAAGGGTCAAGAGAGATCTAGGGCACTGATTACTTAGAGGCAGACATAATGTAAGTCCCTATTTAAGCCAGCAGAGACACAGCCCTGTCTCTTTTGCAACTGTTTAGACCAATGGCTTAAAAAGGACAGTGACTCCTTATGCTGAAGAAAAGGATATATTATTGATTACAGGGAAGCTGATCAGTGAATTATTACTAATCATCATCCCCACAGGGCTTAACTTTGGTGAAGATCTTGGGACTTATTTTTGCTCAACTGAATGAATAATTGGAAGTATATATGTTCTGTCAGACAACCCCTGACACCTGGAGTTCCAAGAAAGGTATAAAGGACATTGTATATTAATTATTCAACTGCTAGAAAGGAATAACGTTTCCCCCCATATCTTCTGGTCCTTTGGAAGGAAAACGGAATGTAGAATATTTTAAAGCCAGACTTTTCAGAATATCTCGAAGAGGCTCCAGCATTACCCCTCTTTACTCTTGTAGCAGATGCACGTTATTATTGATATGGTGTGACTACAAAATAGTGAGGATGTCGGTAGAGCCTTTAAGGGCAGTTCAGAAACAGAAACGGGGTCTGCAAACGGGGAACTTAAGCGTTCATTCCATTCATTTATCCTTTAGTTTCAGAAAAGGGTTGAATTTCTGATCCCAGAAACCACAAAGTCCGCTTCACCTTCACTAAAACACTGACTAATAAAATAGTGAAAGTCTGAGAAAATTAGAGCTGCTTATCAAATCACTGGTTTGTTTATATGTGCGCAAGTTTGAAATGACTTGCTCTAAAGGAAAATAAATAGCAACATCAAAATGCAAAAGAAGCAGCCAGCTTTTTAATCTATGAGATGAGTCTCTTATAGTGTGGTTGTAAGAAAAAGCATTTGCTAAAATTCATCTTGTCTGGAAATGCTGCGGGACATGCTCCCCATTCCGGTCCTGGGAACACGTGAAAACAGAGAAGATGGGGGACGGCTCCAATGACAACTCTGCCTGCTGCAGACTTTAACCAGACTTTAGTCTCTTCTTCTACTGTCAATAAACTAGAGTTTTATTTTGTATCATTGAGATAATCAGAGTATCTTCAATAATGTATAGTTTTATGGCAACCAGTGAAACCTGGGGATTCTCAATAGTTATAGAAAACTGGTATGCTCAAAGACAAGCATGTTATCAGCCAGGGGGCACTTCCAGATAGATAAATGATCTATATGAATTGTATAAGCCAACACAGTCAACTGCATAAAGCATATTCTAACTGGCTATGTTTGTACCTTTGATGCCAAAAGCCAACTGGCAAGCAGTTAGGTAGACCAGACATATCATCTCTAAACAACATTAGATGCAAATCAAATGATTTCTAATGCCTATGTGTGTGTAATAAAAATATTTGTTTTTATGTGGATTAGTGTTTGCCTGCATGTATGTGTGTATAGCACATGTATGCCTGGTGCCTGAGGAGACTGAAGGAGTTCAATACCCTGGAACTGGAGTAACAGACATCTGTGAGCCACAATGTGGGTGCTGGGAACCAAATCCTGTCCTCTACAAGAGCAGCAAATGCTCTTATTCACTGAGACATCTCTCTGGAGAGCCCTTATATGTAATTTTTTTTTGACACAGTGTCCCATGCATATCCCAGGCTAGGCTTGAGACTGAAGATGGCTTTCATTTCTCATCCTCCTGCCTCCATCTCCCAAGTTTTGGAGTTTCAGGTGTACATCACTGCAGCTAGTTGATGTAGTGCATCTGAGCCTCATCCCTAGGCCTGGCCTATTCTAAACATGTGGTTCTGAAGGTGTTTCTTAGCTAAGCCTGGTGGCTTGTGCCTCTAACCCCAGTTCTTAGAAGACTGTAGGACTGTTGTAAGCTCAAGGCCACCTGGGACGTCAATGTCTCAAAGATAGTAAAACTTAAAAATTATGAAATGTTTCTTGTATTCAGATTACTAAGAGGCTACCATGATTAGTTACCAAGAGAACCCAAGGAATACAAAATTCACATGGGCCTGAAAAACCTAAGAAGATACACTTTCTGCTGTGTGGTACTTAAGTAGTTTCCACTGTCGATTTAATAACATTCTCCACTTAAGAAGCCTAAGAACAGGATTTGCCTTATGCACAGATAGGACAGTCACCTGATCTGGCAGTATTTGGATGGCATTGTGAAAAGTCCTTTCTTTGTAAACGACTATTACTATTTCCTGTATATTCGTTGCCGTAAAATGCTTTTTATTTTAATATTGTCCCAGTTGTTTCTCTTTGGCTTTCTGTTTCTCTTTTCTGCTTTCTATTCCCCTAGCCCTAGGATTTTATCTTCTCCTAGGAATCAGTTACATTTCATAAGCAAAGAGCTCCAACAGTTATGTGTTCAATGTAGATCTCTTCTGAACCTCACATTTGCATGAGTATCCAACAGCCCACTCTTAGTCTCTACATGGTCATTCCAAAGAAAACTCAACTGTACTCTGTCTTAGACTGGAACTCATCACCTGCTTCTCTAGCCTTCTCCCAATCTTTGTTCTCACCTAAGGTATTCAAGTTAAAAGTCCGAGATTGGGGGAAAGCTCATGAGGCCTCAACTAGGCAAAGAACTACAGGCGACTGAGGGACACTGAGTGGGAGAACTAGTCTTCCCTAGGGCAGAGTACACCAACTGGTTATCCAATATCAAATAGTCAACTCTAAAAACACGCATACAAATAACATTACATGGACTGAGCAAGTTGTAGTTATATATTTAGGAATCTCTCTCTCTCTCTCTCTCTCTCTCTCTCTCTCTCTCTCTCTCACACACACACACACACACACACACACACACACACGTACTGGCAATTAAAGAAAAAGAGACCATGAATTTGAAAGTGAGCAAAGGAGGGATGTGGCATGAAAATATTTGGAGGGAAGAAAGGGGGAAATGATGTAATCATATTTTTTTAAAGGAATTTTCACTATTTTTAAGAAACATTTCACTATTAGGATAAGAATTTGTACTGTATCAAGCTGATGAAAAAAATGCTGGCTGTACTTTCAGGAGGAGAGGCTAAAATCGTTTTAGAATATGTATTAGCCTATAGAAAAATATCTGCTGTAAATCAAACAGTGAAGGGGAAGATGAACAGGAATCTCACTTACACAACTTAAGTTCTCTCTGAACAGATGAAGATAGGTTTCTTCTGTATCCCAGAATCTAATCAATATTTATATGTATAATTCAGCTATCATTTGGCTTAAAAGGGCTTATTGGGAAATGTTATCATTTATACTTTTTTCTACAGAGAAAATATTTTACTGTTTAAAATAACCCTAGACTTTTAAATTATAATCTGTTTTTATGTTCAGGATGTCTGTGTATTATTTCTCCTGCAGTTGTACATAAAATGTTTTTACATTAAAAAAAGGACTAATACTATAGAATTGTATTACATGAAATATATAGAATATACAAATTCATAGGGACAGAAAGATTAGAGGTTATCTCAAGATGGAGAAAGAAATATAGAGCAATGATTTACTAAGTACAGAATTTCTGTTTTGTGTGATGGAAAAACCCCACAAATGAACAGTAGTATCAGGACATAATATCATGAATGTAATAAATCAATATAATTAATGTAATTAATGCATATAATAAATATAATTATTGAATGAATACTGCAATGTAATCAATGAATACCACAAATGTAATTGATATCATGAGTGTAATTTAAAAAATAAACTATTAAAAAAAGAAATTTTTATTCGTTTTTACATACCAATCACAGATCTCCCTCTTCCCTCCTCCCACCTTTCTAGCCTTTCCCCACCCACCCATCCCCCATTCCCTCCTACAAGAAGGAAAGGCCTCCCAGGAGGAATCAGCAGAGCCTGGTCCATTCAGAAGAGGCAGGTCAAAGCCGCTCCCCCCTGCCTCAAGGCTGTACGAGGTGTCTATGAACAAGGGGCATCAAGATCATGATGGGGAAACCTACAGATGTAATCATATTCTAATCTCAAAAAAAATAAAAAAAATCTGTGATTCGTCCATGACCACCTTGTCATTCTCACTCCAATATCATTAAATCCTATTGATTTTATTATCTCAACAGTGCTCAAATCCATCTACGTGTCCAAAAAACAAAAACAAAAAAACAAACAAAAACAACAACAACCTGGTGGCACTGTTGTAGACTGTCTCATTTTGCTTTGTTTGAGCCTTTTTTTGTCTTACTGATCTTTTGCTTGTATATTATGGTTTCTGATTTTGTGTTTCTGTAGTTTTGTGTGTGTATTTGTGTGTTTCTTTGTTTTTTGGTTTGTTTGTTTTTGTTTGCTTGTTTGTTTTCTAAAGAGAGAAAGAAAGACTTGTGGAGTTGGGTGGGTGGAGAAGTGAGGAAGATGAGGGGAGGGGAAAGCGTGATCAGAATACATTGTATGAACAAAAATTTAAACCCATCTGTGTTTTTCTTTTCTTTCTTTCTTTCTTTTTTGTTTTCCTTTTTATAGTTTTTCGAGATAGGGTTTCTCTGTGCAGCTTTGGCTGTCCTGGAACTCACTCTGTAGACCAGGCTGGCCTCGAACTCACAGAGATCCACCTGCCTCTGCCTCCCAAGTGCTGGGATTAAAGGTGTGCGCCACCACTGCCCAGCACCATCTGTGTTTTTCTACTATATCTACTTTAATGCAGGCCAATATCATTTCTTCCCATTTACAGTTACTGT